ATCTTACCACTTGAAACATCACTAGCCCTGAAGCTGCTGGTAGACATTGGTCTACGGTTGGAATTATCAAAGGTTTTTGACACCTGAGAGACACCGTAGCAACTCATTTGCGTTTGGAAGCGGGGGGTGGGGGTGGGGGGAGGACCAGGGAGGATGATTCAACCACTCAACCACTAGATGTCGCTGAAAACAACAAATCCTACACACTGTGCCTTTAAACATGAAAATTAAATGAATAACCTCACTTGTAAAATTAATGCACAAATAAAAAAGCAAGAGACACAGTCTCTCCAGTATGTCCTGGGTCTTTCTCTGGGTCTACTCCCAGGGAAAATGAAACTCTCAGGGAAACTAAAAAGTATACGGTTAAACGCTACACATTTGCAATTTATTTTTTTCTGATAAAACATACGGTATATTCTCTTATGTTCTCACAGGCTTACTGTCACATTTTATTTTGTTGTCTCAATTTTTATGCTACAAATATCCTTCTAAAAATGCTTTCTGAACAGTTAACAGTGTGATATATGTACATCACTGACAATATACATGTGGTTTGCAGGGACCCCATCCTGTGTTAGGCTGTCTGGTCATGATTTTAACAGTGATCCAGCCCATACTGGCTCTGCTACGCTGTGGACCACAACATCCACGGTAAGAATCTTCACATTGAACAAATTTTTATAAAACAGTTTACCCAAATCAGTGTTCTGTTCCTAAACATTAAAACCAAAACTATTTAATGTGGCCTATTTTAGACATTCTTTAAAAAAGGTTTTGTACCAGCTTGGTCTACAACCACAATTCCACTGAAGTTGGGACGTTGTGTAACACAAGTAAAAACAGAATAAAATGATTTGCGTATCCTTTTCAACTTAAGTTTAATGTTCACGTCTCACTTTAAGCAAAGTGCAAGAGTAATTCTTAAGTGTGAGTCTTAGAGATGATTTACAGCACTTCGCTGTGCCCCAAAGCTGATCTGGTGTTACAAAATCCCCAGCATGGACCAATCACTGCATCAGATTTCATGTCTAAAAATATACTTAGAAATGTCAAGATAAAAATGTAAGAAATCCTAAAATAAGTTCACATTTGACACAATAGTGTTCATACATGTCACGTTGTGATTGTCTGTAAATTAGCTCCATAAAAGTTCCTCATTTGCATCATGAATAAAGAAAATCTTGTGGATTATTTCAAAAACTGCAGCTTGAAGGTATTTTTTTTACGTCTCAGAGCCTGAGGAAATGTTGTTTTCATCCTCCTCCTCTTTAATTAAACAGACATCACCATCACACACAGTAATTATTCGCTTGGTCCCTGGATATACAGTCAAATCAAGACAACGGCGTACATACAAATAAATCCAGATGTATCAAACCATGTGTATGCCGGAATCCACGCACGTTTCTTTTGTACATCATAATCAACATTGAATTGAGCGCCTGTGAGATACCTCCGTTGACACGCCTTCATTTACATGTGTTAAATGGATGCAAATAATTTCCTGCATGTGACATACATATTTGTGAGATCTCTACAACAGATGATTTCTAGATTCAGAATAATAATTAAATAAATATAATAAGGTGAAAATGATTCCTAAGTAAATAGGAAAGTAAAAATATATTTGTCACAGGCAAAGAACAATTGATTGTGTCATGTCATGTCAAATTCATTTATATAGCACATTAAACACAGGTATAAAGCACCAAAGTGCCACACAGAGAACAACAAAATAATAAAAACAGAGCATAAAACAATACTTCAATTAAATGCCAAAGAATCAAAATGAGTTTTAAGAAGTGATTTAAAATGATCCAGCCCATTTAAAGCTTTATAAGTTAATAAAAGAATCTTAAAATCTGTTCGATAAAGAACAGGCAGCCAATGTAAAGATGCCAGTATAGGCCTTATACGGTCATGCTTCCTGGTTCCTGTAGGAGCCGTGCTGCTGATTATGTGTGCATGTGTGTAAAGCTGCTGTTACTGGGAGCACAGCCCTCCATTCTGAGCCTGGTCATGTTAACTTTGTGCATGAGTATATTAACATAATTACTGGCAGAACATAGATCTTTGTTTATTTAATAGCTGATATGAAGAAACGAGTCACAGCACCTCAGTGGAGAGATTTAATGAGATGACATGATGTTGGCAATTGCCGTTCCATGGCTCGGCTCAGGGTGGACTGGCACAGTCCCGGTCGGTTTGTCAGCTGTCTCTAGGAAGCCCCTGTGGAACCCCAGTGTGAGCACAGCTCCTCATCGCTGTGTCATGCTCCCAAACCAACCGCAGCTCCAAGCACAGTTGCAAATTTAGTATATTCAAACTGTCAGCTGAACTCATTCTTGAGGCTTAGACCAGACCACCTGCCCCCCACAGACTTGTCCAGTAAGCCCTAGGCATGATGGGTGCATCACTTCAGCCTCTCTGGAACATGGTCCATCTGGATTCAGACCACATGACTTTCTTCCAAAGCTCTAGAATCCAGTTTTTATGATCCCCAGCAAATATGTTTTTCTGATTAACCTCACTGATAAGTGGTTTTCCTACAAAAACACATCTGTTTAATACCAATCTGTTGATCCCTTTGTATTGTTTAATGTTTCCTTTTGCTACAAATATCATGTAAGATAAAATTGTCTGTGCTTAAAAGAATACTTTTTGCTACAGCAGGTAATAATGTAGATGTTCTGTTAAATTTGACAGGCGGTATATATTCAACTTGTCACATGCTTTCATTGGAATTGCAGCAAAAGGCTTAGGTGGTAAGTTCTATTTTTTCATTATATATGCTTGATGACTCATAAAAATATTAACATACGCTCTTGTTAAAGAGTTTGAAATGCCTACTTTTTTATGAAACCACACAGTGGCAGCCATATTCACAGGCCTGAGTATAATTGACAACACTACGAACTCCTGGCTGATGAGCGTGATGGGCGGTTTTGTGGCGTGGGAAGCTATTTTCTACACACTGTTGGAGCTCTTCAGTAGATGGAAGAAAAATAAACCAGGTAAAGATGTGGTGATGTGAACAAACTTGTTCAAATGAGTGCCTTTATTAGCGTTTTCATATTTTCTTTTACCTTTTGAATTTATATTTTCAAACTGGCCATTTAACTGATCATAGCAAAATGCCCTATCAACGGATTTAGAGAAGCATTTAGAGAGTAATCATGGGAAGCACATGCATTTGTACATTATTGTTAGAAAAGTAAAAGCAAAAATTAAATAACTTAAAAC